TGATCAATAGCGGGCTGTTGTTATCAGCTCAGCACGGATTTCTTGAAAAGAGATCTTGTCTGACAAATCTGCTGGTGTTCCTAGTTGAGATCACACGTAGAATTGATGAGGGCTTACCGGTGGAGGTACGCTATCTGGACTTCCAGAAGGCGTTTGACTCGGTCAGCCACCATCTCTTGAGGCATTAGATGCAACTATTGGGAGTAAATAGACAAGTCAGGAGCTGGATACTGGGCTTCCTTGCGCAGAGGATGTTTAGTATCAAAGTAGGAGCTTACACATCCGAGGAGGGAGTGGTCACAAGCGGCGTACCCCAAGGATCCGTACTTGGACCACTGCTGTTCCTGTTATACATTAACGACCTAGCACGGGATCTCCAAAATCCCTGATTTCTGTTTGCAAATGATGTCAAGATAGCTGGATAGGATTTAGCAAGGGACATAAATGTAGTACAAAGATAGGCCGAAAAATGGGACCTGCCACTAAATGTCTCTAAATGTCAGATACTGACGACCAGAAGTGACGAAGAGACAGCAAGGAGCCTGCCGATGCAAAGGGTGCACGAGGCAAAGGATCTAGGCAAAGTGGTCACGAGGGATTTCAAACCCAACACCCAATGCGTGAAGGCCACAAACAAAGCCAGAGGACACCTGTTTCGTCTATGCGCAACGATCACATGCAGAAAACCAGAGATCTTTGTCCCTCTTTACTAAAACATCGTCCTTCCGCATCTGGAATATTGTGTGCAGGCTTGGGCTCCGTTCTTTCGGAAGGACGTCGATACTTTAGAGAGTTTTCAACGTCTAGCCACGAGAATGATAGCTGGGCAACGGGGGAAGAGCAATGAACAGCGGCTTAGACATTTAAAACTATTCTCCCTCACACGGAGGCGGATTAGAGGAGACCTAATCGAGACATTTAAGATCGTCAATGGTATGTCAGATCTCAGGTGTGACGACCTGTTCTTCTGGGTTTCGCATACAGGCACGCGATGACATTACTTAAGTTTGCAGAGAAACCACTCTAGGCCACAACTGAGACGAACGTTTTTCACTAACACGGTAATTCCGTTTTGGAACCGGTTGCCGCTGTCAGTGGTAAGCTGCAGTACTGTGACTGCTTTTAAAAGGGCACTTGACGAGTGTTGGATAGCGGTCTTTCCTGAGATAAGCGTTTAGTACCATCTATAACGTAACCACAAGAGATGTGATACTGCACCACATATTTCTTCCTTTCAGAAAAATTGCATATCGAAGTGTTAGAAGCCAAGGAAACTCGCCGAAAACACACAAATCTAGGCGCTCGATTGGCAAGAGCCACAATTCGTCCTGTGAGAACTGAACTGAACTGAACTGAACTATGTGTTGGTCAAGTAGCTATGTGAGCGACTGTTTAGTTTTAGCTTGGATTACTGTGGTTGGCAGTTAGCTCCAAGGGCGATATACACGTACCGAGAAACTGCGTTCCCGAGCCCTCAGTCTGGGACGCTGCCTCTCCAGTTTCATGGAGTGGCCGCACAGTGCTGATGTAGGGGCCATCGTGAACAGATGCCTGTTAGGGTGCCCCTGAACGTCGAGTGCGTCCCTCAGGAGGATCAGGTCGCCCCTTACTCCATGCTGTACAGGTTGAGCAAACGGAGTCTGTCCGGGTAGGGTGTGCGTGGCAAACCCTGTACTCGTTTCGTGGCTTTCCGCTGTGCCCGCTCAATGGCGTTGACATTCCTCCTAAGCAGCGGCTGGCACGTCTGGACGTTGATCTCCAGATGCGGCCGAATGACCGTAGCAAAAATCTTGGGGAAAAACTCTGATGTGAACTTCCCCAGGAGTCGGCTTAGTTGGTTGATTTTGAACACTGAACTCCGGGCCAGTTAGTTTGCTGGGACACATCATCAGTATTGACTCTGTCCAGGTCCCTTTCGTGCCTGATCCTCTGCAATGTTCTACCAGAAAGTAGTCGTTTGCACAATGCCCTGCAATGTGCATAACTTTACATTTGTCATTGTTTAATGGCAGCCCATTTGCGACCGAACAGGTAAAAAGCCTGTCTAGGTCCTCTTGCAGAGTGCACTTATCTAACGGGCTTTGAATCTCCTGGTAGATCTTAATGTCGTCTGCATAAATTAGTAGGTCTGATAGTATGCCGACGGGGAGATCGTTCATAAATAATGTGAACAGACTGGGGCCTAAGATAGAGGTACCCCACTGGGTGCTCCAAATATATTTGAGAGGACGCCGTTCACTCGAACCCGAAAGGTTCGATCACACAGATAGTCAGAGACCCAAGCTATCATGGTTTCGGGGAATCCCAGGTTGGCCAGCTTCTCTATCAGCAGAGAGTGACGGACTCTATCAAGGGCCTCGGAAAAGTCCAGCACGGCTACGTCCAGTTGCACTCCTCTGTCTGCAGCAATCTTATACCACTCCATGGTCTCAATGAGGTTGGCNNNCGCTTCCCACCAAACCCGTGCTGGGCATCGTACAAACAGCGGTCCTGCTCGACAAACTCGTTTATTTTTTCGTCAACGAGTCTCTCCATCACCTTTGATACCACCGAGAGCAGGGAAACCGGACTGTAGTTGCTTGGTAAGGTACGGTCCTCCGAATCGAATCTAGGAGAGACCACGCATGGCTTCCGCTCTTCCGGGACCAAGCTAACTCTCATGGAGTGATTGAACAGTCTGCTTAGGGGTAGTGACAACTGCTTTGAGCACGGCTGTAGTAGCATGGGTGGTATCCCATCAAGTCCCGGTGACTTTTTAGCTACGAGACCTGCCAGTTTTAGTCCGACCCGTGTAGGGGAGAACGACACAGGTTCCATGAACCTGTTGCGTATGGAGT